GATTTCAGTGTGCCTTAATTTTTTTTTTTTTTTTTATAAACGTAAAATACAATACCGACAAAGGTTTTGTAGCAAATAAATAATTAAATAAATAAGGTGTCATAATAATAAAAAAAAATTGAAAAATAAGTCAAGCAAAAAAAAAAAAAAGAAAAAAAAAACAAGAAAGAAAAACAAAAATAAAAACAAACCAAAAAAAAATCCAAAAAAAAAAAACGTATAAATAAGAATTCGAATTAGGAAATAAATCAAGGTCTAATTCAAAGATAAACGTGAAGGCTATATATATATAATTCAAAAAAAAAAAGTATTCCTAGCACAAAGTAACATAAATAGTGCGAAGCGACGAATCCACCGACAATCAATTCACCGATAGCTCATTCAACCGGCATCACGCAACTAATCAAATGCTGACCTTAACCCTATGTGATATCACTTTCGGTGAAATGCAATAAGGATATTCCGTTCGTATAAATCTCGGATTAGCTAAGCAGGTATCCTGATCATCTGAATCCAAGCTCTAATCATACTATATCCTCTGTATTTCATGCCATACATTTGTTATTACTCTTTACTATCTCCATTGCCTTATACCGCTACTTAAATTATCACACTGCACTGCTTAACGTTTATGCTGCACGTTATTTTATAGGTTACGCTACTGACATCACGTTATGTGACAATTTACTAAAAATATACACCCGACAATTAATCAATGCTAATCCTAGTCTTGAGTGATATACATACGTACGTACATACGAAGTGACATATGGGCGAAAATTTCCAAATTCATGATTATTTAATGTGAGTGATTAGGTTAAATAAAATTTGAGCCAATCATTTATGTGATATGGCATGATTATTGAGAATAAAAGTGATTTTTTGATCAGAGATTGTAAGCCCGATAATGAATTGCTTATGAATCGCTTATCGTTATGAATTTACTCATAAATTTATACCTGATTGTAACCTGATGCTTATAAATTTTTGCACGTATGTACCTAATTGTGATCTAATTGTGACCTAATTACTTATAAATTTTAATAATCACTGTGTTTCAACTGGAGATTTTCGCCCATATGATTTTCAAAGTATTTGAGTGCGGTTGTACGGTACACTATGTTTGTCTGACGTGTAAAAATTTATTATGAAGGATATTCAGAAGTTTAGATCTCTATCTATGACCACTAATATTCCTTTACCATATTCTTAAAGGTCGGTATTTCTCTATTTAGTTCATTATTGGAATTAAATTAAGCTAATTAAAGAGTAAAATGCTACTCTTAATTATTCTATATTAGAATAATTGTTAAGTGATCAACAACCATATTAGGTTCCTTCACATAATTCACATATAGATATCGAATATATAACGTATAACGTACGTACGTACGTTATTACATCTTAACAAATGCCATCAAAAATACATTATGAAAAGTACGCCAACTGGCGTCCCTTCTGGAAAAAGCTTAAAAGAAAAAAAAACGACCAAATATATAATGTTGTAAATGTTTCCATAGAAGAATTCACAGCTACTACAAACTACCTTCGTAATCGGCTACCATTCGAACTTACCACACCAAAAGTAGCAATCATATGTGGTTCAGGACTTGGACAATTGGCTGATGTTATCGAAAATAAAGTGGAATTCGCTTATGAAGAAATACCTGGGTTTGTTTCCAGTACAGGTAAAGTTTGAACTCACTTTTTTGAAGTTTACCAAAAATTGCTTAAAAAAAATTTTGTTTTTTTTTTAAGTGCAAGGCCATGTAGGAAAACTTATTTTTGGTCTGCTTGGTGATAAAAAAACACCAACAGTTTGCATGGCCGGAAGATTCCATTTTTATGAAGGGTATACACTTCAACAGGTTACATTCCCTGTAAGAATTTTTAAGATTCTAGGTGTGGAAGTATTAATCGGTAAGTCATTCACCAGTGTAGAGATTGTACCCGAATATTAGTTTGCTATCCGAATTGTATAACACCGGTTAGCCCCGTAATTTAATAATACTAGATACAGTTTTCTCAAGATCTGTATCACTTCACTGACAATCACTTTAAAGACACCACATTTCACTAACACTCATTTCACCGGCAAGCTTATTTTACAGACGATTACATCTATTACTATAATTTCAGGGAAAAATAATAGCCGGATTCGATAAGTTTTTGAATTCGGTGTTATCGGTTATTACCGTTATTTATTAAATAGAATATTTGAGTGTTGCATAGAAAAAACTTGTAAGTAAAAATTAAAAACGTTATCACTAATATATATAATTTATAATATAATTTATATATATTTATGATGACATTAATTTTTACTTACAGGTTTTCTTTGTGCGGCACACATTTCAAAGCATATTTATTTTCATACAATTGAAATAACTTTGGAAAGCTTGCCAACTCGAATATTTTATCGTATTTGTAGATTGAATTCTTGAGGGATTTTGTGTTGAAGAATTTTCAATATTTTTTGAAAACACATTAAATCCAACTTATCCAACTTATTAGGAATTTTTTTATCTGCATAAGCTAAATAAATTATTTTTTTTCTCAATTTATAGGTTTAGTTCCAACAGTAAATGGTTTATAAACATTGAATTCATCTTGTTAACATAATAATGAAAAGCTATTATTGCTTTAATGAGAGGTAAATGATACCAGGTCAATGTTTATAAAGAATTGTGTGCACTGTGATTTCAAAAAATAATGACATATTCAGAATATGACTAATGAATTTGTTTATTATAAATGCATAATAATATTTAAAAAGAAATAAACTCTATAAAATTATTTCACAACAGCTCATTTCACAGACAAGTTTTTTTATAAATCACACTAACCTTAGCCCTAATTCTAAACCCAACTCAATCGGCAATTACTAGAATTATTTGGTTTGTGAAATAAGTTGTCGGTGAAATATACTGTTTATGAAATGAATTTGTCTGTAAAACGAGCTTGTCGGGGAAATGAGTATCGGTGAAATGTGATGTCTTTGAATGATTATTGGCGAGTTGATCGGAATCGTTTTCTTAATGGGTACAATTTCAGAAACTGATTATCTAGGCATGTTGCATCTAAAGTAGCGATTTATCTAAAGTAGCCACTTTAGATATATAAAGTAGCGCCTGACTAAAATTAGGCCCCTGAAATTAGATCTTCATGCATGCACTAAATCGTAATTCTAGCCCAGGGCTACTTTAGATAGGGTGGCTACTTTAGACAGGGTGGCTACTTTAGATACAACAGGCACATTTAATTTACTTATTCAGACACCTCATTTATGATTACAATTAGTCACAAACGCGAATGGGGCAATAAATAAAGACTTCAAAGTTGGCACTATAGGCGTAATAAATGATCATATTTCTCTCCCTGGTTTAGCCGGAAGCAATCCCTTATTTGGTCCGAACTTGTCTGCTTTCGGAACGAGATTTCCACCAATTTTCGATGCATATGATTATAATCTTCGTGAAATTGCATTCAAAGCTGCAGAATCCCTGAAATTCCCTAAAGGAACTTTGAAAGAAGCTATATACGCCTTTTACGCCGGACCTTCATTTGAGACCAGGGCTGAAGCAAGGTTCTTAAAATCAATGGGTAGTGATTTAGTGGGGATGTCCACTGTGCCTGAGGTTATTGTGGCAAGGCATTGTGGAATTAGGGTATTAGGTTTTAGCTTGGTGACTTGTATGCTAAGCATTGCGAAAGTTAAATGTGCGGATCCTGCAGAACAGGATTTAAATTATGTAGAGGAGCCACAAGTGAATCATGAGGAGGTGCTTCAAGTTGGAAAAGAAAGAGCTTCGGATATGCAAAAATTGGTTGGAACTATTGTGGACTTAATTGCATAATACGATTTGATAAGCTAGAAATTCGTTTCAAAAGCTGCTATATTGTTTGTATAGGACTTGAATTCTGCTCATGTTTAATTAATATTAAAAAAAAAAAAAACCATTGATTAACTTGTAAATCCATAGCATAATGGTTTACCTCTTGATGTTTTGTATCTGGCTATTAGCAAAATAATTTGTCATTATTTTTTTTTGTAATTAAAAATCACATATACACTAGGTAAGCTTATATGCATTTAAATTAGTGATCCTTGATATTTAGAATTTTAACTTTACTTTAACTAGCTTGGTAAATATTATGTATTTAGTCGATCCAAGTCATTTTTTAATTTTCACCGATTGAAGAATAACTTTTGTCAATTTTTAATATAATTAATTCAAATTTGCTACAAAACCTTTGTCGGTATTGTATTTTACGTTTATAAAAAAAAAAAAAAAAATTAAGGCACACTGAAATC